TTGATTCTCACCACAACCCTTAAGGTAGATATGATTACACTCCATTTTATAGATGAACAAACTGAGGCCCAGAGAGGTGAGGTGATTTGTCTAAGACCACACAGTTAGCAAGCGTCAGGGAAGGTACTAGAACCCACCTGCACCCAATCCAGGGTTCTTTCTGTTTCAACAGCCCTTGGCACCGAGCAGATGCCCAATGAATATTTAATCAATTACATAATTGAATTAGGTCCTGCATCCCAGTGTGGGACTTTCTGTGCTCTAACTGCCTACCTCAGGCCGTCCCTCCCAGCACAGACACAGCAGGACTGAGGAGGCGGTGGGTCCCAACCCAGGGAAGTGTGTTGGGCTTAATGTCTTCTCCTCCACCAAACCACATACAGCATACTTGTCACTGGTCATAAAATCAGGCTGCTCTTTAAAAAGAAAGAAAACTTGTCCTTGTTCCAGGGAAGTGTGTTGGGCTTAATGTCTTCTCCTCCACCAAACCACATACAGCACACTTGTCACTGGTCATAAAATCAGGCTGCTCTTTAAAAAGAAAGAAAACTTGTCCTTGTTCCTTATCTCTGGGGAGGAGGCCGATTCCCCTGCCTCCCACTGTGCTGACTCTGCACAACACACAGAAATATTTCTTCTTGTTTGTTCTAAATTTACTGTCCAGTAGTTTTTTTGTTCTCATTTTATGTGACAGGCAGCTGAGCGATTTTCTCAATATCAGCCACCCCCATAAATCGCTGCTGCCATTTCCTCTCCAGTCCTAAAAGAAAAAAAATCACCCCAGCTTCGGTGGCCTTCGCTGGGGGCTGGCTTGACTCCCAGAGGCCTTTAGACCCTCTCCTTCGGTCAGCGGGCACTCCCAGCACTGCCTCAGGGCAGGCAAACCCAGCGCTGGGGCCCAGCCGCTGTCTCCTCACTGACACTCAGCCCTGAAAGATGTCACACTGTTGAATGATTGTCTACCCTGTGCCCTGTACTCTGCTGTTGGGGTGCAGGAAGGAAGAAGCAAAAACGAAGACACATTGGTCTCAATTGCTCACAGCCTAGATGGAGGGGAACCTCAGAGTCCTAAATTATGTTTGTAATGTGCTTCGTGGGACCCAGGCCCTTGCACCTACATCACTGCAGTGAACTTTCACCAGCGGCTCAGGTGGTGATTTCCACAGGTGATGAGTGGAGGGGGTGGAACTAGCAACAGCAGGCCTGGAAAAGGAACCAGCTCAGGCAAAGGCAGAGCGGCAGGAAAGTGCCGGCGTGTGTGAGGAAGAATGGCGTGCAAAAGACAGGAGCAGGAGGGCAGCGGGCAGAAAGGCATGGTGTTTTTGGTCCTGGGCTGAAAAGGCAGAGTCCTAGCATGCTGGACAAGGAGTGTGGTCTCCCCTCTGAGTGCCTGGGTCATGCATACTTTCTGAGCTGTGACTAGTTTACAAAGAGATCATCTGCCTGGGACCAGGAAAGGTCCTGAAAGAGGGTTGGAGTCAAAATCTTGAGGACAAGGGATTTAGAGTGGTGAAGATGGGGACACTGGGAGCAGGTTGGAATTACCTGCTTCCGTGGCTTATGGGGGAAGCCAAAACGTTGCTCGCATAGAATGGTGGGCAGGGCTGGGCAGGGGGCAGGGGACAGGGGTGGGGCACTCCCTGGGCTCAAGCCTGGGGCTGCCTCTCACTTATACTTTGTGCCCTAAACCTGAAGTTCTCAGTGCCTCAGTTTCTATGTGATGCTGTCAGGAGGATCTGACAATTGTTACATTTAAAGCAGTATCTGTCACAAAGTAAACACTGAAGAAATGTTACAGTTTTTACCCTGTTTAACAGAAGAGGCAGTTGAAAGAAAGTAAATAACTTGCCCCAAGTCACACAGCTGGTGAGGTTATGACAGCACTCAAGCATACATTATCCACTCCCTTGGCCCTAACATAGGCCTGAAGGTGGCCACCAGAGGGCGCCCTGGCCTCGGTAGTCACAGATGCTGGCGGGACTCGCCTGGGACCTCTGTTCTTGTGGTTACCAGGCAGGGACGGAGTGAGATACACTCCCTTTTACACGTTGAGTTGCTGCATACTTACCTGGTAGAAAGCACAGTCAAGACTAAAATTCACGTCTCCTCAGTTACAGTGCTGTGATCTTGCAAATAAAAATGCTAACTTTTATTTAACCAGAATGTTTATTGTACNTCACTGACACTCAGCCCTGAAAGATGTCACACTGTTGAATGATTGTCTACCCTGTGCCCTGCACTCTGCTGTTGGGGTGCAGGAAGGAAGAAGCAAAAACGAAGACACATTGGTCTCAAGTGCTCACAGCCTAGATGGAGGGGAACCTCAGAGTCCTAAATTATGTTTGTAACGTGCTTCGTGGGACCCAGGCCCTTGCACCTACATCACTGCAGTGAACTTTCACCAGCGGCTCAGGTGGCGATTTCCACAGGTGATGAGTGGAGGGGGTGGAACTAGCAACAGCAGGCCTGGAAGAGGAACCAGCTCAGGCAAAGGCAGAGCGGCAGGAAAGTGCCGGCGTGTGTGAGGAAGAATGGCGTGCAAAAGACAGGAGCAGGAGGGCAGCGGGCAGAAAGGCATGGTGTTTTTGGTCCTGGGCTGAAAAGGCAGAGTCCTAGCATGCTGGACAAGGAGTGTGGTCTCCCCTCTGAGTGCCTGGGTCATGCATACTTTCTGAGCTGTGACTAGTTTACAAAGAGATCATCTGCCTGGGACCAGAAAAGGTCCTGAAAGAGGGTTGGAGTCAAAATCTTGAGGACAAGGGATTTAGAGTGGTGAAGATGGGGACACTGGGAGCAGGTTGGAATTACCTGCTTCCGTGGCTTATGGGGGAAGCCAAAACGTTGCTCGCATAGAATGGTGGGCAGGGCTGGGCAGGGGGCAGGGGACAGGGGTGGGGCACTCCCTGGGCTCAAGCCTGGGGCTGCCTCTCACTTATACTTTGTGCCCTAAACCTGAAGTTCTCAGTGCCTCAGTTTCTATGTGATGCTGTCAGGAGGATCTGACAATTGTTACATTTAAAGCAGTATCTGTCACAAAGTAAACACTGAAGAAATGTTACAGTTTTTACCCTGTTTAACAGAAGAGGCAGTTGAAAGAAAGTAAATAACTTGCCCCAAGTCACACAGCTGGTGAGGTTATGACAGCACTCAAGCATACCAGGCCTGGAAAAGGAACCAGCTCAGGCAAAGGCAGAGCGGCAGGAAAGTGCCGGCGTGTGTGAGGAAGAATGGCGTGCAAAAGACAGGAGCAGGAGGGCAGCGGGCAGAAAGGCATGGTGTTTTTGGTCCTGGGCTGAAAAGGCAGAGTCCTAGCATGCTGGACAAGGAGTGTGGTCTCCCCTCTGAGTGCCTGGGTCATGCATGCTTTCTGAGCTGTGACTAGTTTACAAAGAGATCATCTGCCTGGGACCAGGAAAGGTCCTGAAAGAGGGTTGGAGTCAAAATCTTGAGGACAAGGGATTTAGAGTGGTGAAGATGGGGACACTGGGAGCAGGTTGGAATTACCTGCTTCCGTGGCTTATGGGGGAAGCCAAAACGTTGCTCGCATAGAATGGTGGGCAGGGCTGGGCAGGGGGCAGGGGACAGGGGTGGGGCACTCCCTGGGCTCAAGCCTGGGGCTGCCTCTCACTTATACTTTGTGCCCTAAACCTGAAGTTCTCAGTGCCTCAGTTTCTATGTGATGCTGTCAGGAGGATCTGACAATTGTTACATTTAAAGCAGTATCTGTCACAAAGTAAACACTGAAGAAATGTTACAGTTTTTACCCTGTTTAACAGAAGAGGCAGTTGAAAGAAAGTAAATAACTTGCCCCAAGTCACACAGCTGGTGAGGTTATGACAGCACTCAAGCATACCAGAGGGCGCCCTGGCTTCGGTAGTCACAGATGCTGGCGGGACTCGCCTGGGACCTCTGTTCTTGTGGTTACCAGGCAGGGACGGAGTGAGATACACTCCCTTTTACACGTTGAGTTGCTGCATACTTACCTGGTAGAAAGCACAGTCAAGACTAAAATTCACGTCTCCTCAGTTACAGTGCTGTGATCTTGCAAATAAAAATGCTAACTTTTATTTAACCAGAATGTTTATTGTACCTCGTTCCCCAGTGCATTGTACTTCCATGCTAGCACCAACTAAATGTGTATTGAGTATAGGTTGACAAAGGTTAATAAGGCAGTATGGATTAGGGGCTGCTTGGAAATTTGGGGTGGGAGAAGCTAAACTGAGGGAACCTCTGAGCTGCATTTTGTAAGACGCATCAAATTTTACCAGATTGGCAGGGTTGCAGGGAGAGAAAAGAAGGAACATGAAGAGAGAACAATGCATGCAAAGGCACAGAGGCAAACAGTCTGGAAGAGCAAGGTGTATCCTGGGAATGGACAGTGCATATGGGGGAAAGGGGAGGGAAGGAGACAGACGAGGCTAAGACCATGGAGCTAGGACTGGTGGGCAAGGAGATGCCAGGCCCCAGTGGGGAAGGGAATCACCAAAAGTACCCCTTTGAGACCCTTCAGGGCCCAGGCGTGGCAAGCACCAGACCCTACTGCCTTGGGTGGAAGAGTGCCTGGCACTGAGGAAGCGGGGAGTCAGGAGGGGAGAGTTAACCCAAATTCTCACTGTCCTAATTAACAGTTAGATATTAAAATGATCTCATTTGANTTATTGTACCTCGTTCCCCAGTGCATTGTACTTCCATGCTAGCACCAACTAAATGTGTATTGAGTATAGGTTGACAAAGGTTAATAAGGCAGTATGGATTAGGGGCTGCTTGGAAATTTGGGGTGGGAGAAGCTAAACTGAGGGAACCTCTGAGCTGCATTTTGTAAGACGCATCAAATTTTACCAGAATGGCAGGGTTGCAGGGAGAGAAAAGAAGGAACACGAAGAGAGAACAATGCATGCAAAGGCACAGAGGCAAACAGTCTGGAAGAGCAAGGTGTATCCTGGGAATGGACAGTGCATATGGGGGAAAGGGGAGGGAAGGAGACAGACGAGGCTAAGACCATGGAGCTAGGACTGGTGGGCAAGGAGATGCCAGGCCCCAGTGGGGAAGGGAATCACCAAAAGTACCCCTTTGAGACCCTTCAGGGCCCAGGCGTGGCAAGCACCAGACCCTACTGCCTTGGGTGGAAGAGTGCCTGGCACTGAGGAAGCGGGGAGTCAGGAGGGGAGAGTTAACCCAAATTCTCACTGTCCTAATTAACAGTTAGATATTAAAATGATCTCATTTGACCATCAAGTCTCTGAGCCCTGCCCTTGCCATCGCCCAGGAGTTCCATTCTCGCCACACACCCTAGTCCAGGTGATACCTTTCATCCAGACATGGGCGTCTTCCTGAGGCTTCCAGAGTTCATGGTTCATACAGTGACTCAAACACAGCTGGGCCCTGGCACCCCCAGGCAGAAATCATGTGCATGGTGGACAGCTTCACCTTCCCACCTACTGTCTGCTTCCTGTCCCATCCCCCTCATCTGCCCAGGTTCTATGGCCCTACCAGGTGCCACATTGGCCACTGCGGCAAGCCAGGTTTTTTCAGGAGCTGGTCGACATGGGAGGGAGAGAGGTTGTGGTCAGGTGAGGTATGTGGATTGGATCTAGTCTCCTTGTCATGGTTACTTTGGCCAGAGGCAGTCATGGGACCATCTTGGGGTTGTGGGGGTGTGTTCTTTTCACTCTGAGTCTAGCTAACCAGCCTTGTCTCTTGGCACAGAGGCACAGAGCCTGGGCCTGCTGGACCCCAAACTCTGCTTCCTGCTGGATGGAATCCTCTTCATCTATGGTGTCATTGTCACTGCCCTGTACCTGAGAGCAAAGGTGGGTACCACTGGGTTCAGGGGGGGAGGGAGTGGGCGCCCCCACTCTGCAGATGTTCAGAGGGATCTTGGTCTTGGAAAGTCTCTGGCCTAGGTGGTGCCTGATGCTTGGTGTCCGTGCACAAGGCAGCCCCAGCCAAGTGTGCATACTGGGTGGGCTGAGGAGGTGGTGGGGGCGTCTGGCTGGGCCAGACAGGCTGGGAAGGAGAGTCTGGTGCTGGGCGCCTTAGGGAGGAGCTGTACAAATGTGTGAACATCATAGTGTCCCAGGGCAAGAGGATATTGCTGGCAAGAAAGGGGCTTACACTCAGGCAATTAAGAGCAGGGAGGCAGGGACCTGCAGCCACTTCCCAGATTCTGCTGTCCAGCTAACTGCGGCAATGTCATCCTTTCTTTTGAATCCTTTGTTTCCCCAACTGTTAATAGGAGGGTTGGCCCAGAGCAGGGGTTTTCACCTCGTGCCTTACAGGCCCTGGGTTTCTTGGAGGGACTGGGCACGATGTGCGCAGAAAGTAGAAGGATTTAGGGGAAAGAGGAGGCTCCAGGCTCTGTCATCACGTCAGTGCCGCCCAACCCATTTCTCTTTTAAATTTTGGACTTTGGCATAAGATTTTATTTGAAAAACAGTCTTACTGACTTTCTTAAGTTTGAAAACAGTGCCCTAGACGATTCTTAAGGTTGTTCCCAATGCTCTGAATTCTCTAAGACCGTGCAGTTTCTCTCCGGCTGAGGCGGCGTCAACTGAAGAGCGAGCCGGGTTGCTTGAGCCTGGAGCAGATGCTCAGGACGCCGAGCAAACGCGGGGCTTCCTGGCTCGGGGGCAGCCGGGCCATGGCAGAGGGTTGACCAGGGGAGCACAGAAAGCACCCTACCCCAGGGGCCAGGATAGGAGACAGGACCTTGTGCAGCCACGTCCACCCCAGATTGTCCTCAGAGTCCCTGGTGGAAGGGGCCCCTGGAGAATGCCCCTGGCCCCCAGAGGTGCGGACCCTGAGCCCGGCACCTCTGCGCAGGCGCAAGGGCCCTTGCGGGGCGGGGGAGGGGGAGGATTAACTCCAGCCGGTGACGGGGCCAGCGTGGTGGGTGCACATGTCACCGCAGGAGGAGAAAGGACAGTGGCGCTCAGGAGGGGGATGCCGCGCCGAGGGCCGCTGCAAGGGCTCAGCTCCAGCAGGCAGGGCACGCGCTGTTCGGTGTCAGGGAGCCGAGCGGGGCTGTCCCTCAGGTGTCGCGGCCCCGGCGGCCCTGCGCGCCCCCGCGTGGAGCGATAACGCGCTGTGCTCTGCTCTGTTGCAGTTCGGCAGGAGCGCGGACGCCGCCGCGTGCCCGCAGGGCCCGGGCCAGCTGTACAACGTAAGTCCGCCTCGGCCCTGCGCCCTGCCGTCCGGGCGTGAGGTTCGCTAGCACTGGCAGCTCTAGCACCCGGCGGCACGTTGTTTAACCGGTTTCTACCCGCAGAACGGAGGTAGTAATTGTACCTGCCTCCTGGGGTGGATTATACGCTTTAATGACTTGATGCGTGGACCGCACTTAGCATAGCGCCTGCCGCTAGTGAGTCCCCAAGCCAAGAGCAATTTGCAAAGGCTAGAGGCGGGTGGAGAAGGGATGTGTGATCATCTTCACAGCGGAGGGGGAAGCGATTGCACACTCCCTGTGCGATGGGATTTTGGTCGAACTGATTGTTCCCTCTCTGAGCCTCAGCTTCTTATCTGCTAATGGGAATGTTATTATATATCCCATTAGATTGCTCAGCATATAGTAAGAAAGACTCTCAGCATATAGTAAATAAAGCCCTTGGTGGCCTTTGGGGATCCCGTCCACCGTTATGGTAACCTGTGTTCTCTGAGGTCTTCTCTGAGATGATGGTATCCGGATGGACCGGTTACACCCCATCCCGCCCCACCCCGCAGTCCCTGCTCCTTTTTGTGTGAGTCCCCCCCACCACCACCACCACCCCTCGAGGGAACCAAACTCCCCAGTCCGGCTTGCTCCACACTCCTGAGGTTCCTTTTTCCTGTGTCTGACACTTTCCTGTCTGTTATAGGAGCTCAATCTAGGAAGAAGAGAGGAGTACGACGTTTTGGATAAAAGACGGGGCAGGGACCCTGAGATGGGAGGAAAACAGGTAGGGAAGGGAGTGCCTCTCTGTGGCCGCGAGGGGAGGGCTCTTCAGCACCAGCACACTCTGCACCCAGACTTGACCCTAACAGGTGTGGGGCCTGGGGCAGGAGGACAGGTGGAGGCCCCGCTTGCCGCTGCCCTCTCTCTTCCTCCTTGGCCAAATTCTGCATCCCACAGAGCCTCAAGTGCATGAATGTTCACCCCAGCCCTTCATCCACCTCCCCTCAAACTGCTCCTTGGCCACCCTGAGATGCACACATTGGGGCACATCTGCCCCCAGGAGGACAGACCTGGTGAAGAGATCCACACAGGAAGGGGCCTAACACCACTGGGCAAGGATTTCAGCGTCCTGGGTTCCCCTCCAGTGCATAGTCAGGGTATAGGCTCTAGGTGGCTCTGTCCTCTTGGCTTTGTGGACTCCACACCGCCTAGGGAGGGGAGTAGCTGGATGAGGCCAGAGTTGGGTCCTCTTAAGAGCAGGGCTCAGGACAAAGGCCGGGCTGCCCCAGTTTAAGGGAAGTGCAGCTGGCTGCTGCCCAGTGGCCCTCGACGTTTCTGATCACACCTGTCCATCCTGCTCCTGGCTAGGCCCTCTGAGCCCTGTGCTGGGCGTGTTGTTGCTAGAGTGAATGTGCAGAAGGAGAGCCCAGAGGTTTCCCTGACTGTCCCCTGCCCATGCTCCCTCCTCAGCTCTTGTCCCCTCCTCTTGCTGGACTGGGAGGGGTGGGGGAAGGGTGGGGAAGGAGGGGGCCATTCTCTGTGTGGCACATCTCAGTAGGGCCGCCAAGCAGTGGCCGGCCCTGCTTCAAATGAAAGTACGTGGCACTTTTCGTCTTCAGCAGAAGTCCCACGTGTAAGGTTGTGACACTGTGGGGGGCGTGTTTGCATGGGCACGGACAGACGGACATCCCCAAGTCCTGCTCCGGGCGAGGCTGGAGCTGAGTAGGCCCTGCAAGGAGGGCAAATGGGCATGCAAGTGTGCGGGACCCAGGCTGGGCCGCTCGGAGCGCGAGTACTGCACGGCCTGGCCGGGCAGCAGTGCGGGGAGGGTCGCCGGCTGGCTGCACAGCCGCGGGGTGGCGCAGGCTGCGTTCCCGCCGGATTTGGTTTCTCCCCTCTGACTTCTTCCCCTTTGTCTTTCTTAGCAGAGGAGGAAGAACCCTCAGGAAGGCCTGTACAATGTGAGTAGAGGGGATCTCACAGTTTTCCTCGGGAAGTTGGAGGGAAGGCCTGGAGGAGGGCTCTGGAGGAAGGCTTTCCCCCACGCTCCACCGTCCCTCTGTCCAGACCTCCCCTTCAAGTCACATCTCACCTGCCTGCTGCCCGCAGAAGCAGCTGCCCATAGAAAGGCCCCTTGGCTGAAAAGTGACGCGTTTTCTCCCCTTCCCTGGCCTGCCCTCCCTTGCTCAGCCCCTGAGGCCCTGCTGCTGGAGTTCCCAGGCCCATCAGCCTGGTCGGGGTCGGGGAAGCGAGGTCAAGACAGGCAGGAAGAGCTAGCAGGTCCCTCTGATGGGCGCCTGTTCTGGGGGCTGGAGTGTTCTCCTGAGTGTCCCCTCTTATTGAAAGGTCAGCCTCACCTTCCTGGGTGGGAACCTGATGGTTGTTTTTAGATGGTGGATCTGGGTCTGACCCCTGCAAGTGGTAGCTAACTGTAAAGGCAGCCGCCTCCCCTTCCCTCCTGCGGGGAAGAGGGTTGATCCACAGACCGTGCTGTTTGGCTGAGTTAAGAGCTAACTAACTTGCTCAGATAAATGATCCTGAGGCTTCCGGTGAGCCCTTGCATTGTCCAATATCTGCATCTCTGGCTAGAACTCCACATCCTATCTTTCTGAGCCTAATCTGAGCTTCTCAGCTCAGTACAAAGGGCTGGCAGCTCAGAGAAGATTCCAAGGGGACTGGGGTGAGTTGGAGCTGGTTGTGGGCAAAGATGTTAGTGTAAATAGGGCTTGGAGTTTTGATCGTGGGAGCCCCCACCAACTTGGGAATTGAGAGGAGCTCTGCGGGGGGGAGCTTACTGTTTTCTGCATTAGCTAGTGAAATCAGTGTCTCACTCTCTCTTCTTCTCCAGGCACTGCAGAAAGACAAGATGGCAGAGGCCTACAGTGAGATTGGGATGAAAGGCGAGGTGAGCATTACTCTTAATTCCCAGGGAGGGGAGTTCCTCATGGTCTTCCAGATGCACCTGTTGCAGGTCTCTTTTCCCATCCATTCCTCATTCCACCTGCAGAAATCCATGTGGTGGCCACCAGATGTGAATGTACATCCAGCTTTCACCCAGTTGGACAGTACATAAGAAAATAAGGAGGAGCTGATGCTCTTTCAGGATTGAAAACCAAGTCTAGATTCTATAACAGCCTAAGCTTTGCAAAAGCAGGTCAGATCTGACACTGTTAATACGTATTCAATCCTTATTGTATGCCAACACGTGTGCACAGGTCCCAGGG